CAAACAAAACAAACAAACAAATAGGACTTGTTTAATTTTAAGTTTTTCTATGTAATGTATTTTAACTTTCAGCCCTTACTACCAGTTATTTCTCTTTGTTTTTTAGAGACACGGTCTCATTCTATAGCCTTGGCTGAGTACAAGGGCTTTATTATCATAGCTCACTGCAGCCTCAAACTCCTGGGCTTGAGCTCCTCCTACCGCAGCCTCTTGAGTAGCTGGGACTACAGAACAGCTATAGTCCCAGCGTGCGTCACCACACAAAGCTATTTTTTTTTTTTTTTCCCATAGACACGGGTCTCCCTACATTCCTCAAGTTGGTCTCAAATTCTTGGCCTCAAGCAATCCTCCCACCTGGCCTCCCAAAGCACTGGGTTTACAGACATGAGCCACCACACCTACCCTTCTACCAGTTGTTTCTATTAAAATCTAGCACAGATTGTCATCTAGTGTAACACAAAGTAGTATACTTAATATATTTAACATACTGAAAAAATTAGTATATCAATATTTCATCCTGTTTTATAAGAGCACCATGACTTTCAGGTATTCTACTTTCTGAATTGGTTTGAAAATGTATGTCCAAAATACAAAACCTTTAAAAAAAAAAAAAAAAAGTCCACTTCCTCTTCCACATAGCAACTTCCCAAATTTCAACTATTATTTCTGAAAGGGATCTAGTCTAGCCAACTTTATTTCATAGATAAAGAAACTCAGATTCAGTGATTTAACTCCAATTAATACTCTCTTCTTCAGACAAAATACCTCCAACAGTTCCTTAAATGGCATAAGTTCTAGATCCTGAAAACTGTAGTCTTCTCTTTTCAAGACATACTCTAGGCTGGGCACAATGGCTTACACCATAGGGAGACCTCACCTTCACAAAAACTAAAAAAATTAGCTGGGTGTGGTGGCATGTACCTGTAGTCCCAGCTACTCAGGAGGCTGCATTAGAAGAATCACTTGAGCCTGGGAGGTATAGGTTACAGTGAGCCGTGATCACACTGCTGCATTCCACCCTGGGTGAAACAGTGTGAGACCCTGTCTTTTAAAAAAAAAAAAAAAAAAAAAGACACACTTCAGTTTCCTTACTGGTGGCCCCTCTTAGGATATACTCAAACAAAATTATTAGATGGGGTTTAATTAGAGTATAATGGGATGATGAACACTTCCTCAGCCATGCTGCAATTAGACTCCCCTAAGACTGGCAAGTACCCTAAGCCACGTCAGTTCTGATAGCACGCTATCAGTAAAGCTGTTGACATGTTACACTGTAGTAATCTAGCTCCAATCTCTGATTGATCCCCTGATCAAGTCATATTATTGTTTACCCAGTTTCTGGCTCATATCTCTCATAATTCATTTGCTTACTACTTTAATCCTTCCCCTATACTTTTTAACTAAGATCTAGGAATGTGTTTCTGCTAAAACTAATCCTGGCTGGCAGCCTAGTTAATTAATTCCTAGAATTTGAGCAACTAGTAGCTCTCTGTAACAACCATGTGACCTGATTACCCAGATCTTGCTGGGCAAACTCCTTCCTATCTTTAGGAAACTACCCATCCTCATTATTCCTCCAAGATACTTTCTGAAAGCACCCCAAATAAGGAAAATATCAAGATGGTACTGTGACAAATTTTTTAATACATAGGAAAAAAAAATGTAGGGAGACTTACATGGGTGTCACACCCCTGTCCCACCAAAGGAAAGGGTGGAGAACACATGTGTTGAACTAGAAGTGACCAATCTAAACTAAAAAGGTCAAGCAGGGGCAGGAAGTTGAGTTTTGCAATGAAAGCATTAGCAACCTATGCTTTGGGTTTTGAGCTGAAAAGAAACTGTTCCCAGGGTACTCTATTTTTACACTTTGCTATTTATCTTTTCATTTTCCCAACCTTGTAGGCTCCTAAAGTATGAAGAAACTTTAAAGTCATCTAGTCAAGAGGTCCCAAATGCAGGTCCAAGGGAGTAACACATTTGCTGCATTAGAATCACTTAGGGAAAGTTTTGCAAAAACTGGTTATCTTCCCCCTGAAATTTCATACTGTCCTTTGGCACCCCTTCCTCCAAATCAGGACTGAGTAGGCCTAAACTCTGTAGGATACGGTGACATATAACTAAATTTGGGAAGCCATTTGAACCATATTTGAATATCTCCTATGACAGGGAACTTACTCCTTCCAAAATAGCATGTTGTATCACTGGAGTTTGAAAAAGGGAGAGCTGGCCGGGCGCAGTGGCTCATGACTGTAACCCCAGCACGTTGGAAGGCTGAGGCAGACAGATCACCTGAGGTCAGGAGTTTGAGACCCGTCTGACCAGCATGGAGAAACCCCATCTCTACTAAAAATAAAAAATTAGCCAGTCGTGGTGGTGCATGCCTATAATCCCAGCTACTTGGGAGGCTGAGGCAGGAGTATCGCTTGAACCCAGCGGCGGAGGTTGCAGTGAGCTGAGATCACGCCATTGCACTCCAGCCTGGGCAACAAGAAGAAACTCTGTCTCAAAAAAGTGAAAAAAAAAAAAAAAGCTGGGGAGGGCTTTTAGAGTCAGATGGGTTTGAATGTCAGTCCAACTTGTTATCATGGAAATTTTCAAATATACACAAAGTAGAATAATAGACACCTAGGTATCCATCATTGGCTTCAGCAATTATCAACATATAGCCAATCTTGTTTCATCTATAAGCCCTCTAAACCCCAACACCTCACTTGATTTTATTACATTTTAAATTCTGCAGTATATATCTCTAAATATGATTCATTTAATTAATTGCAATATCATTATTACACCAAAATATTAACAATAATTCCTTTTAACTTATTTACATCTCAATTTCCTCAACTGTAAAATAGGGATGGGTCATACTCGGCCTCACAGGATTCTTGTGAGCTTTCTGTCTCAGTGATTAAAAAAAAATGTAGAAGAGTCCTTTGGCTTTGGCAACATATTGGTAAAAAATAATAATAAAGAGTTCAGTTTGAATACGTACAACATAGATAAAAATCATGTAAGTTCTTGCTTTCCGAATCCCAGTCTTGGAGCTGTGGACAGTAAATAACCCACCTACCCAGAAACCTCAACTTGCTTAAGATGGTGACTACAATGCATCTGGAATGGTAATATCAGCTCAGCTGGGACAATCTATTTCTCTCAGTAGGTAAATGACTTTTCAACAATGGGAAGTTCAGAATTTAAGATATAAGGTAATTTATAAACATCTGTGTTAACTTCAAGACAATCTATCGTAGCTACAATGCATTCATTGTGGGGCTCTGCCTTCTACCAGTGCAAGGGTTGAACCTAAGCTCAGCTCCCTACAAGACAAGGGGCTTCCTTTCCTTTGATAGCAAGACTAACTTTTCAGAGCCCCAATGTCTTTCTCCAGGTTCAAGGGAGTTGCCCTTCCCAAACAACTCTAAACAGTTGACATCTTAAATCCAGACTACATCTCAAATCCTGACTCCAGGCACTAAACACAGAATTCGTTTCTCTCATGAGAAACCTATAAAATAGAGACCCACAGCTAGGAAGTCATCTGCCTGTTAGAAATTGATCCGAATATGAATCCAGCAGTGACCTGGACCCTGCAGGATGGGAAGATCAGGGGGACCAGTGCCTTCCCCCCACCACCCCTATTTTTTGAGATAGGGTCTTGCTCTGTCGCCCAGGCTCGAGTACAGTGGTGCAATCATGGCTCACAGCAGCCTCAACCTCGTGGTCTCACACGATCCTCCTACCTCAGCCTCCCAAGTAGCTGGGACCACAGGAGTATGCCATCATGCCCGGCTAATTTTTTTTATAATTGTGGTAGAGACAGGTTCTCATTATGTTGCCCAGGCTGGTCTCAAAGTCCTGGGCTCAAGTGATCCTCCCACCTTAGTCTTCCAAAGTGCTGGGATTACAAGCGTGAGTCATCATGCTGTCTAAACCTTCTTAACACCTATTTCTCTTCTTTCCAGACATCCAAATGGTTTTGTTTGAAGTCAACAATTCGGCCAGGCGTGGTGGTTCACGCCTATAATCCCAGCACATTGGGAGGCCGAGGTGGGCTGATCACCTAAGGTCAGGAGTTCGAGACCAGCCTGATCAACATGGAGAAACTGTCTCTACTAAAAATACAAAATCAGCCGGTGTAGAGACACATGCTGTAATCCCAGCTACTTAGGAAGCTGAGGCAGGAGAATCGCTTGAACCTGGGAGGTGGAGGTTGCAGTGAGCCAGATTGCACCACTGCACTCCAGACTGGGCAACAAAAGCAAAACTCGGTCTCAAAATAATAATAAATAAAGTCAACAATTCAGCATAAACTGATCCAAATCATGCAAAATCCATCCCTCTTTCCCCATCTAAATGCTAGTTAACTCCCAATGACAAAATAGTAGACAGGTGCTGATCTAATTGGCTGAATGATATAATTCACACTAAAGTGAGAATGAGGCTTAAACATTCCCAGGTTACACAGATAGAAGAGCAAAACACAAATCCGCAATGGTAATATTTCATTCTTCACTTTTATCGATATAAGTGTTTAAAGGGAGAGTCCTTTAAGTTGCTCTTCTCTCTCTGGGGTTATTTTTTCATTCATTGATTCATGGTTAAAAACAACAAAACAAAATGCATGAGAATTTCCATAATGGGACTAAAAATAAAAATTCCTTATCTGCTTTAAAAAAATAAAAGGAATAAGGAAGAGAAAGAAGGGATCATATGTAATGAGGAGACATGGTCAGACAAATTTAAAATATCTTAAATGCCTCTCAGTGACAGCCAGATCCTTCATTAGAGGCTTTTTATTTACAATCCTGGAAAAATATTAATAGCAAGCAATTTTTCAATTGGCCTAATCACATTTAATCCTTTGCCACACAAACAATCAAAGCACACTTGAGAGCAAAGAAAAAATTCAAAATGAAAAAATTTTTTTTCTTAACAAATTACGTACACAAATATGAACTCTGTTATACTAAATTTCCAAAGTTAGTAAGAAAAGACTATACCTGAAATATATGGCCCTGGGCTTTTGCAAGCTGAGTTGTTCGAATATTTAAAGACTGGCTTCTTGTTACAGTTGCCACAGAAAGGGATTTTCCATTCACCTTTCTTTCAAGATGACAATTTGCTGGCAATCTCTCTTCAAGAAGAACAGCATCCCAAGGATCCTTTGCTAGCAAACTTGAAACATTTTTCTCTTCTTCATGGTCTAATACCTCCACGTTATCCACCTTAGGCTTACTTAGAGGATCCAAATCTAACCAGTCAAATTTACTGATATCCTCAGACTTTGGAGATACCTGTAGACTGCTGACTTTTGAATCTGTTATCTCCAAATCAGTCCTTGCTTTCCCATTTTTTAAAAATTCTGATGTACTAGCTATTTTGTCAAATAGTTTTGCCATGTCAGGACTGACTACTGGACGATAGATAGGTAAGCTTCCTTGTGGATGAAAGGGTGTGGCAGGTGTCAAAGGATATGAGAAATATGGAGATTGTCCCGGAAGACTTAAATATACAGGTTCTGTAGATGGAAAAGTGGGCATTCTTGGATTGAAGCCATTTTGGAATGCAGCCTGTTTACTGTAAGTAGAAGGATAAATAGAAGGTAAAGTATAAGTGGAAGGCCCAGATAATCCAGGTGGCCACTGTCCTCTCTGAATAGTAGGTCTAAAATAGAGCTGTGCTGAAAAGGAAGGGCTCAGAACAGGAGTAGCTGGTAATACAGGTGTTTTTCTAGTCTCAAAACTGTCATCCAGCAATAGTTTCTCAAGTTCAGCTTGAGTGAGCTTTTCTACATCAATATCTAATGCTCTTTTTTGGGAATCTGATTCGGGAAACACCATGAGATCATAATCCTGTTTATTATAAACCTGTGCTTTTTTTCTGGTGCTGCTTGACAACTCAAAGCCTCTCTGATTGTCAGTCACTTGCCTATCCTTTTGCAGTTTTGCTAAAGCTTCTGCTTCCATCTGTAATGCTTCTTCTTTGTCCACATCTTTTGCTCTTGTTGGTTCCGGATGTGAAGATGGACATTCTTTAAATCCGCTGTTGCTGGATATCTGAGCCATGTCCACCAAAAAGATCAAACCTTCCTTCCTCTATTTTTTTCTTGTAGCTTCCAAAATAGCAAGAGCTATACATAAAAATAAACATAACACTCAATTAGATTTCTAAACATAAATATATTTTGTTTGCAACCTACCCCATATGATATAGGACTTAAAGCCACTTAGAAAAATACACTATAAAATAAACAAAAACAGTTGGATGAAATCTGGGTGAAGGAACACTTAACACCTTATACACTGTTGGGTTACAGAAGATGTTCAGATACACATTACTTTAACCCCATTTCCTGACCCAACTGGAAAGCTGGCACAGTAAATTAACTTTCATTTTAGCAGTCACAATGGCTGCCATTAACCAGTGGTACTTCTGGCAGAATTCTTAGCATGAAATGACTTAAGAGCTAGTCACATATTTTCAAAAGTTCAGACAGGGTTTACCGATATGCAGAAATAGCAAGTCAAAATGGTTTTTGATCTTTTGCTATTTGTTAAATTGCTCAAAAGCCAATTAGCAATAAAAACATCCAATACCTAGCTAATAAAATAGGAAACTATTATTTTATCAAAATACTATGTGCAAAACTGATTAAGGTTTAATAGTCTTCCAGAAATATTAAAAATGTATAATGTAACATGGATTTGAATAATAAGACAAAAGTGTTAAGGCTTATTAGAAGTTCTGAGGTAATATTTCACTCAAAGATTAAATTACAGCTGAATTGGTCATATAGTTTTAATTACATTTCTATTCTGATTATCTGCAGTTAAATCAATAGTTATAATACCAATTTCTCCTTTTCAAAATCCTTAAATATTTTTATTCATGAAAAGAAGATTACTTTGTCATAGATTAGCTTACAAAAATTTATACTCCTCTATTTAAGACAAACACTTAATTCAGACCAAGATTACCCTGTGAAGCAGTATGACCAACTGAAAGGTTGCTTAGCTACTCTGTAACACACAGCACATTTCCTCCTTCTAAACAATATGATAAAAGGGTTAAATATGGATTCTGGAGTCACATCACCTTAGTTTAAGAAGGTGACCGGCCAGGCGCAGTGGCTCACACCTGTAATCCCAGCATTTTGGGAGGCCAAGGTGGGCGGATCACGAGGTCAGCCGATCGAGACCACCCTGGCTAACACAGTGAAACCCCGTCTCTACTAAAAATACAAAAAAATTAGCCGGGCGTGGTGGCAGGCGCCTATAGTCCCAGCTACTCAGGAGGCTGAGGCAGGAGAATGGCATGAACCTGCGAGGCAGAGCTTGCAGTGAGCTGAGATCCCGCCACTGCACTCCAGCCTGGGCAACAGAGCGAGACTCTGTCTCAAAAAAAAATAAAAAGAAGGTATACAACCTTGGGCAAATGAAAACTTGTCTGTATGTGTTACTTTCCTAATTTTTTAAATAAAAAAGTGTCAATCTAAATTAGTATACAAACTAAATGAAATAATACACATAAAAGTGCTTATCATTGGCTTTGGGCATAAGCATTAAATAAATGGTACATATTATTAATCTAATCTGGTTTGTGATACATCTAGTTTAAATACCTAGAAAGCAAGAGAGCTCCTGTTTACATTCTATGATCTTTCTTTCTAGCAAACACAGTGCTTGTCTACCATATATGCTCAATATATGCGTGATGCAAGGAAGTAGGAAAAAAACAAAATAAACTCTAATATAATACAAACAAAAATCGAAGTGTTGAGGTAATACTACACAAACAAAAAAAAATTAGTGAGGAGGTCATGAAGAAAGAGGAATTCAAAGAATGTTCTTGGAATGTTCTTGGGGGGTATTATTTTGCAATCCTTCATACAATTATTTTCCCTTCTGTGGTAGGCTACGAAGCATGGGCACAATGTATATTTAAAATATGCACACTTTACTGTATGTAAACTTTATATCAAAAGAAAATGCTGTAAATATTGAACTCTTGTTAAATATGCACAAAGTACTTAGAGGAAAGTACTAATGTCTACAATTTGTTGTTCTTGACATTTAGAGATGGGGGGGTGTGTCTCACTATGTTACCCAGGCTGGTCTTGAACTCCTGGCCTCAAGCGAGCCTCCTGCCTCAGCTGGGATTACAGGCATGATCCACTGTGCCTCGCTCTTACAATTTACTTTGAAATGCATTTTTTTTAAAAGATGAATTAATGGACAGCAGAATAGATGGATAAATATGTGATTAGACAGGTTGGTGTGAACCTGGAGGGGCGAAGCTTGAAGAGAGCAGAGATCGCGCCACTGCACTCCAGCCTGGGCGACAGAGCGAGACTCTGTCTCAAAAAAAAAGAAAAATGTTTATAGTAGAATCTAGGTGATACAAATATGAGTGTTCACTTTGAAATTCTTTTAACTTGGTTGCCAAGACTGAAAATTTTCAAAATAAAAGGCTAGGTAGTAGGGAACAAGAGGAGCACAAATTCCTCCCATTTCAACACATACTCCCATGATTTTGTTGCTCCTCCCATAAAGAGGAGGACTCTATTTCTTTACTCTCTTGAGCTGAGCAGGCCTTGTGACTTGGCTTTTACCAATGAAATGGAAGTGACACTGTGGGTATAGGAGTTCCAAATCTAGGTCCTAAAAGGCTTTACTACTTCAGTTCTTTGTCTCTTGAAATGCAGCCACTGCTATGTGAATGCTCACTGTGGATGACGGGGCCAGCTAACAGCCAGCACAAACCACCAAACATGTGATCTTAGACCAAACATGGATCTTAGACCATCCATCCACGCTCCAGATGACCACAATTCCATGAGTGACCAAAGGTGAGACCAGCAGAAGAAACCACCAAGCTGAGCTAAAGTCAAATTGATAACCTACAGAATCATTTTGGAATGATCTGCTACATAGCAATAGATAACTGATAAACTTTTTCTTATTACTTTTAGAAAACAAAGTGCAAGCCACTTTACTATTTAGCAACAAACTTCTGTTTTAACTTCCACCACCACCTTCCTCAACTTATCCTCAGGGAACAAATGGTTTTCTTTTCCTTTCTAAGGAGACCTCCTCTATGTGTATCCTTAACGCCACTGAATTCCCCTCCACTTCTTCATCAATGATTACCTCCTTTGCATTGTTAACTTATTTACTTGCTTAGGGTCCTGTGCCACAAAAATGCTTAAGTCTTCTCCATATTGAAGGGGGGGGGAAATCTCAACATTCCCCTTTAGATTGCAGAAGCTTCCATTTTAATTTTCTTTTTTCAATGCCATACTTCTCCAATGAGTGACCTAGAAAATCTTTTCTTTACACATCCTGCCTTGGAAAAACTCTACTTGTACTTCAGGGCCCAATTCAAATACTGTCTCCTCTCTTTAGCTTTCCCTAAGCAGCTCTTATCAGAATTCATCTTTTTAGATTAACCAAAACATTTTTATCACAGCTTTCTCTTCTTCACTTCTGTAGACCTTTTGCTGTTTTTGCCTATCAACATCTTTGCTTCTCGTTGTTGAACCTACAGCTTCCATTTTGGAGACTGATCTCCCTTTATCCCACATAGTTAAAATAGAACTGGCCATCTCTACCCTTGTCCCCCACCCCCATCCACTCCAGAGGATCCAAATCTGGCCCATCAGAGTTAACTCCTGGACTTCTGCTGAAACTATTTGGAAAGAAAGCTCTTCTTTGAGCTTACTAAACTCAGATGTAAGCCTGGCCCTGGTGTGGCCGTCTTTGTCGCCACTTGAGGAGATACTGCCTAAGAATGAATCCAATCCAGAGGAAAGCAGAGCTAAGATAAAACGAAGAAAGACAGATTCTGGCTAATATTACATTAAGCATCTGGATCCAACCAAGCCCAAAGCCAGCCTTTCATTTATGTAAGCCAGTAAGTCTCCTTTTTTGCTTAAGCCAGTTTAAAATAGGCTTCTGCCATAACAAAAAATGTCCTGATGAACACAGAATCTGTGAACCTATGTGTCTACACCCAACAGACTAAAATAAGCTTAAGTGCAAAGGCCTACTTGTTTATTTTTGGAGTTCCCCATAACATTTAAAAGTACCTTGCTTAATGAATGAAAACTTAATTTACTGAACATGTGGGGTTTGTTTGTTTGTTTGTTTAGACAGTCTCATCCTGTTGCTCAGACTGGAGTGCAGTGGCACAGTCTCGGCTCACTGCAACCTCTGCCTCCTGGGTTCAAGCAATTCTCCTGCCTCAGCCTCCTGAGTAGCTGGGATTACAGGCGCCTGCCACCACACCTGGCTAATTTTTGTATTATTAGTAGAGACTAAAAAGTTTAGTGGAGACTAATAGCATTTTGCCATGTTGGCCAGGCTGGTCTTGAACTCCTGACCGCAAGTGATCCGCCTGCCTCAGCCTCCCAAAGTGCTGGGATTACAGGCGTGAGCAACCTCACCTGGCTGAACATGTGTTTTAACAAGAGGGAATGAGGGCTATTAGACAGTCTTAAAGAAGGCATTTCCAATGGCACAAGAGGATGGATATATGGTAGGAAAAATAAAACAAGTGTAATCACCTATCGTGGAACACCAAAGTATACTGCCTATTTTTCATAAAATCAGATGTATTAAAACAAAATAGCAGCCATGCACAGTGGCTCACGCCTGTAATCCTAGCACTTTGGGAGGCCAAGGCAGGTGGATCACCTGAGGTCAGGAGTTCAAGACCAGCCTGGCCAACATGGTGAAACCCCGTCTCTACTAAAAATACAGAATTTAGCTGGGTGTGGTGACATGCACCTGTAATGCCAGCAACTCAGGAGGCTGAGGCAGAAGAACCCTTGAATCCGGGAGGCAGAGGTGGCAGTGAGCCAAGGTCACCATTGCACTCCAGCCTGGGCAACAAGAGCGAAACTCTGTCTCAAAAAACACAATACAACAAAACAAAACAAAATAACACAATAGCATTTTACAAAGAGAAAGGCTACTTAGATATAATTCATCTTCCACAAGCATAATGTCAATTTGTTATTTAAGTAGTCTCCTTGTTGCCACATTTGGTAATGAACAATGCAGCATTATTCTGAAAGAAGGATCTAGATTTTTTAAAATTAGTTTACAATAGTTTATTCACTGGAGAATA